CCCCCCAGCCGGCCAACTTCATGCTGCGCACGCGCAAGGAGAACCCCCTGGCCAGCCCCGACCCACGCATGACGTCACTATCGTGGCTGGCCGGCATTGACTTTGGCTGCGCGCAGCCTGTGGGAGACGAGGTGAGCGGGGCCGCGCCGCATGAGGCGCAGGGCTCGGGCCTCATGGCCGCGGGCCAGGCCCTCTTCAGCAGCGTGGGGCGTGCCTGACCGGCGGAAGGAAGGGGTACTGTACCATGACAGGCTGGTGAAACGCGGTGGTCTTGCAGGATTTCCGACGCAAGTTTTGCTTTCGCGCCCTTCTTAATGGTTGGCTTTCTTTGCAGTGGCCGCTTGAGCTTACACCCCCGCCGCCGTCGCCGCTCCTCCTCCCTCCCACCTCAGCGCCTGCACCTGCGTGCGGGCACCCCCACCTACATGGCCCCCGAGTGCCTCGGCCGCGACTACCACATCGAGGCTGACCTGTGGGTGGCCGCGCGCCACAGCGCCACGACAGGGGCGCCCGGGAGCGGCAGCGCTCGCGGCTGATTGCAGATGGGGAGCACATGTGCTCGCACGCAGTTGCTGTGTTTGCTGCGTGCCCAGGCAAGTTGAGGGCGCCGGGCCACCAAGCAAGCAGCGCCGGACATGGTCTCTTCCCCCGCCTGCGGCGCGTGTGACGCCCGCGGCTGCCCCCTGCCCCCTGGCCGCCGTCCCCCTCCGCACCAGGTGGAGTGTGGGCACGACTCTGTACCAGCTGTATGCGCGCCGCACTGACGAGTGGCGCGCCTATGAGGAGTGCCGCCGCCACATCCTGGAGAACGTGAGGGGGGGAGCCACGAGGCAGGGGAGCCTCAGGTTGCTCGGGTTCTCGCTGCGCCATGTTGTACGCGCTGGGTAGTGATGGGCGCGCGTGGTGCCTGCATTTGGAGGCATGGCGGCCAACACGGCCGCGGCACCCCATCGCACCTGTCATTCCTTATGATTCCGCATCGCCCCCCTCGCCACCCTCCAGCCCGAGGCCGACTCGCCCCTGCCGCTGACCGGCGGCCCCTGGGCGAGCATGAGCCCCGAGGGCCGCGAGCTGATTGGAGCCATGCTGGCGCGCGACTACCCCAGCCGCATCACAGCAAAGCAGGCTCTGCAGCACCCCTGGTGGGCGCACGGCCGCTGAGCAGGGGGCTTTGGATTGTGCAGCTTGTTTGGTCGCTACTAGGGGGGACCGCCGCGCCTGCGGCTGGACAGGTGGACGACCTGGCATGCCGCCCCTAGCGATGGCATCCCAGCAGGCGCCCTCTGCTTGATGATGGACCTCCATGGCAGCCTTTGAGCGGTGATCAAATTTGGCCCCTTTCGCTGCCATCCCCCCCGACCCATTGACAGGTTTGCCAAGTGGGTGCCCAACTTCAAAGCCGCCACACCAACGCCCGTCCGGGCCCCGGCAGCCAGCAGCAGCAGCAGCAACAACAACACAACCACCACCACCACCACCTTCACCCCCAGCAGCAGCAGCACCACCAGCGCCAGCAGCAGCACCACCAGCAGCAGCGCCAGCAGCAGCAGCGGCACCTGGCCTCGCCGCGCAGCCGGCATGCCCGCATCGCAAACACAGTCGCCGCTGCGTCCCAACCCTGCTGCGCCCCAGCCGCAGCCACAGCCGCAGCCGCAGCAGGCAGCCAAGACGCCGACGCCGCCGCCGCCCCCGCGCCCAGTCACCACACCGGCCCGTGTGCCCGCGCCGAAGCCGGCCCCGGCCGCCGCTCCGGCCAGCGCGAAGCCGTCGCTGCCGACGCACCTGGGTGGCGGCGTGGGCCCCAGCATTCCCTACACCCACAAGGAGCTGCCCCCCCACATGCGCGAGATTGACGAGCGCGCCCCCGTGTTCAAGCCGGACCCCGCGCCCAAGGACGGCGCGCGGTCGCGCTGGACGGTGTCGCGGCCCAGCTGGTGGCGCTGGGGTTCCTCCGCCAGCGATGACGACAAGCCCAAGGTGTCGGGCACGTCCTTCGAGAAGAAGAAGTGAACTGCGCACAGCCTCGCGCGGAGGGCAGGCCCTGTCCCAGGGGCGGGAGGCGGGCGCAGCCAACTCAGCCGCACCCCCCGGCCCTCGCGGCGGCTGACGTGCGCTGACTTGGCCGGCGCTGACCTGGCGCTGAAGTGCGCGGGTGGTGGGTAGGAGGGGCCGGCCCCTTTGAGCAGGGTTTTTTGGCTGCGAAGCTGCATCACGTCACGTCACTACGAGAGAAGGGAGGAGAGTGTAGGCGCCATTCGTGCGGGGTGCGTCCCGCCGCACGGGCCGCGGTGCCAAATTTTTGCGTCGCGTTTTGCCGTCCTGACGTGGGCCGATTCCAGCCAGCAACGCGGTGCTGCGGCGCCTTCAGGAGAGCGCTCTGCTGGCATCATTTTGGGGGCAGTTCGGGGGGTTTGTGACTTGGCTGCAAGCCGGTCTTCCTGCAAACTGTACTCATGAGTGGCTGTGGACGCACCGCACTACTGTGCGACGCGCCGAACAGCCCGCAGCATCTCAGGGGCCCGGCGCCAGGCACCATGCTGTCTTTGCCTTGACACCCAGGGGCGCTTGGTGTGCGGGCCACTGGAAGCGCACTACGAAGATGGCAACCCAATTGAGCACTGTGGCCCCTTGCGCCACACCTTTATGCCGGGGCCTGGCGGCCACCTTGGCGCCTGTGCTCGCACCCTCTGGCCCCTGTTTTGGCCCATGCGTGACGGCGTTCTGCAGGCACGCATGGCGCAAGGCCTGGCACTGGCTCTCCAAGGGTCCAGGGCGCCAGCAAGCACCATGAGCATACGGGCAGCGGGGTATGTTCAAGGCCTTGCGCCGCCGAGAGCTCTTTGTGGTGCTAAGGAGCCAATACATGGGGAATACGCCTGTGCATGTCTGCGTGGCCCTGCCCCGGGCTGGACAACCTGGGGCCCAGCGGCCGAAAAGACGGCACGGGCCGCCCCGCCTGGGTCAACCTGCTGCACACAGCTTTTTTGTGCCCAGCCAGCACTGGTTTATGTACGTATGGTGTACGCGCGGAGAGAGACTGGAAAAGACAAAGCAAAGGTTGTTCTGTGAGTGTTGCGGCTGTTGAGATGGTGGTGAGTGCGGAGGTGATGGCGGTTCCACAAAAGGCCGCGTTGCGCGCCGCACTTTTTTCCGCGCAGTCCCTGAGGATGCATGCCGTGTGCGGCGCTGCGCTCAACCGATTCCGTGCGCACCGGGGCGTTCGTGTGCGCGGCGCAAGCATGGCCGGCAGCCCCTGCAGCAGTGTGCGGTGAGTACGCGGAGCATGGCAAGCCCCTGCCACAGCACCATGCGAGCGCAGTGATTACCACCTGATGCACCCTGCCCAGCGCCGCTCATCCCGGCCCGCCCCCTCCTCCTGCACGGGTGCCCTGTATCCATTACTTCAGCCCGCCCCCGCACCTCTAGTTGACCGCTGCCATTTGACGACTGCACCAGCGACCACACTGCCTTGAATCTGGAAAATGCCGCACACAGTCCAGTGAGCGCCGCCCCGGTGGCGGGTGTAACATCTCTGCGCTCAGCTTACAACCTGGTGTTACAGCATCGACGCCCGACTCGTGCAGGGCGCAGCCCCAGAGCTCAGATAGCACCGTGAGCTGCACCCGCTGCATCACCCTGCCTGGTGCGCTTTGCCTGACCACCCCCACCGCCGCTGTCCTGGCTATCCCTCGCACTGCGCCTCCTGCCTTTGGGGCCACGGCCTGCCCCCGCCGTCTTCAGCAGGGCCAGGGCTCGGTCTGCCGCCGCCATGGCCCCAACAGCGTATGCCAGGCAGCCCTTCAGCAGTGGAACATCAGGGCCATGGGGGGCCACGCCGCTACCAGCTGCACTGATGCAGCTGGGGCCTCGACTATCGAGTGCCGCCAGGGCCGTGTCTGCTGCCATCTTGGAGCGCACCAGCTCCTGCCGCTGCTCCGACAGCGCTGCCTTGAGCTGCTTCCGCGCAGCTGCCCCGCGCGCCGCCAGCAGCGCGTCAATCAGGGGGTCCCACTCCTGCCGCGCCTCGGAGGGTGCAGTGTCGCCAGGGCGTACTTGCCCCTCGCCGACGCCAAGGGCAAGTGCTGCTGTGGTGCTGGCAGTGGTGCCGGGGCGCTGCGCCTCATGCCAGCGTTCTAGGAGGGCGGGCCAGCGGGTGGTCGCGGCGGCTGCTCGCAGGTCCTGGGGTGTGGCCAGGGCCAGAGCCATCGCCGCCAGGAGCGACCGCACCTGGACATGAGTGGTAGGCCACAGCAGGTGTGTTGAAGGGCTGCTAATTGGGCATGAAGGGGCAGGGCGCGCGGAGCATGCATTGTTGGAGCCACCACCCTGACAAGGCATTCAGAGCTCCCAACACCGCCTCCGGCATCCACATGCTCTGCAGGTTCTGGGGCAGTGGGCTGCCGCCGAGTCAGTCTTTGCAGCCATCTCACGATCCCCTGGGCGCCGCACGCCCCCACAGCCCCTCCCCCTATCCTGTGCACCCACCTGCTCTGGGCCGTCCCCTGCCGTCAGCACATGATCCACCCCCAGGCCGGTGGCGGCAAGCAGCGCCAGCTTGGCCGGCCGCACGGGATCGTCCTCCGGCGGCGCCACGCTGACCACTGTGCAGCTGGTCGGGATCGTCTCTCGGGCCACGTGGCCGTCGTGTTCCGCTTCAGGCTGCTGCTGCTGCTGCTGCTCCTGCTGCTGCTGAAATGCAGCAGCCTGTGACATGGCGTCTGCGCCGCTTTGCACCAGGATGTCTTCTAGCGGCAGCCCCCGATGCTCAGCGCTGCTTCCACCGAGGGCACAGCCAACCGGCCAGTCACAAGAGGCACGTGCGAGCACAGTGGGGTCTGTGTCTTTGGGCGAGGTGCTGAGTTCGCAGCTGACCAAGAGGACTCGCTGGGCCTGGAACAGCAATGGAGATGGGGCGGCTGGCCTTGGATGGAGGGGTGACACGGCGTGCAAGGCGCAGGCACAACGCCAAAGTCAACACGCGGCGAGTCAAACGCGATGCCACCCAACTCCTCAATCCGCTAATTGTGTAGCACAACCCACCTGGGGGAGCAGACTGAGCACGGGCGCCACCACCAGCACAGGCGTGACCCCGTTGCCGCCACCGCCGGGCATCTGGATGGCGCCGCGATCTGCCAGGTTGCAGGCCCACCAGAACAGCCGCCCGGCCCCCGGCCACAACAGCAGGCGCTCAAGCACCGCCCCAGCATCCGCACACGACCACGCACAGCCCTCGGCAACCGCCGCCGCAGCCCCCTCGAGAGCGGCAGTGTCCTGCCGCAAATGTCGCAGCTGCGAGTCAAATTGGGACTGGGCCTCCTCTGCAGCTTCTTGCAGCTGCGAACCAACACTTGTTGCCTCGATGACCGCGCCGCAAGCATCGCTCTCCAGGAGGGCGCTCGGCCCAAAAGACGCGTCGTGATTCGAAAGCAGCAGCAGCCACGCATGCCGCCGCTCCGCGGATGCTTCCACTCTCTGCTGCTGCCCCTGCTGCTCAACCTGCTGCCCGCCCTCCTGCTGCTGCTCTGCCACCATCTGCCGGAAAGCGGCACACATGAGCGCCCACACAAGGTGCTGCCGGCTGCGCCCTGTCACACAGGCGCGCAGCGGGACCCGCAGCCACGCATCACCCACGGACAGCGGCCGTGCTGCGACCCACCCGCTGCCCTGCGCTCCGCCCCCTGAAGCCTCGACCCCCTCCAGCACGAGCTTGCCGCACCCAGGCTGCCCGTCTGGTGCCAGGGGGCCGGCCCAGTCCGACCCAGCGGCTGGGGCTGTGCCCAGCTGCCCTTGATGCTGGAGGGGCTGCGGCTGCGGCTGAGCGGCTGAGCATTCGGCGGCCTTGGCCCGCGCCGCCGCTGTGGCTGCTTCCAGTATGACACGCTGCAACCGCACATACACCGCCGCAAGACGGCCCCTCAGCGTGTGCCAGGGCGCTTCGCTGGATCCCCCGGCCGTCGCCGCCGCCGCTGCGAGCTCGCCGCATGCAAGTGCCGGCTGCCCCTGGGCCGAGCTGTTCCCTGGCGGCCTGGCCATCCCGTCCAGTCGGCCCTGCAAAGCCGCCAGCAGGGCGCGCAGGACGCGCAGCTGAAGCGCCAGCGGCAGGTGAGGGAAGACCAACCCCTCGCCTGTGGCGCCGTGGCTTTCCGGCCCCGCTGCTGCTGGTTGCGCCCCTGCAGGCACCGCTGCTGGCAGCGTCGCCCCGCCCTGGAGAGCGGCCAGGCCCCTGAGCTGCCAGGGCGGCAGCGTAACAACTGCCAGGACGTCCAGCAGTGCGGGCGGGAGCGGGTCCGCCGCGGTGATGGGCACTTCAGCGGGCAGGCACAAGGCGCGCAGCAGAGCGGCGCGCTGCACGCGCTCCGCTGCATCCTGGCAGCCGCCCTCGTCCTGGCCCGCGCCCATCACATTAGCCGCTGCCACTGGGTTTGTGTGGGGCTGGGTATCACCCGAGCCAGCAGCACCAGAGCCGGCCGCGCCGCTGCCGCAGGTGCTGTCCGCGCTGCTGCTGCTGCTCCAGCCCCCGCCTGATGCTGGGCTGACGAGGAAAGCGTCTGCAGGCGGCGCCATAGGGGTGGTGGTGGTGGTGATGGGTGCGGCGCCAAGGGCTCCAAGCAGCGGCGTGCATGAACGCTGGCGCCCCCGTCACCCTGCTCACTGGGCTGTTCTGCAGCCCACCGCTCCCACCCACCGTTGGCATTGCCCTCCAGGCAGAAACCAAACCCAAGCAGCAGCTCCTCGTTTGACTTTGCTGTGCCGTAGTTGTTGAACACTTCACTGCCCTGGATGTTGGAGGCGCAGGCTGATGATGATGGCAACATTGAGCAGGAGCATAGTTGCCAATAAAAGTGCTGCTGCTGTGCTGCATTGTGCAGTCGCCACGATGCACCTTGCCAAAAGCAGCCCTCTCACCCGGGTGATTGGCCGCTGCGTCACAAACTCAAAGTTGCCTCCGCCTTCTCGCCCCGTGTGCCACGCCACGCTCTGCTCGGGGCTGTGGTCGGCCATGTCCAGCAGCGGCACGAGGCAAATCACGGGGATGGGCGCAGCCGGGGGACGCACACCGCCGCTAGCGCTGCCTCCCGCCACCGCCTCCAGTGCCGCCGTTGCTTCTGCAGCAACTGCATCGCCAGTGCGCGTGCCGCTGCCGCCGCCCGTCACTACGCCGCGGACAGCAAACGCGCGCGACCACACCGTTGACCTCGCCCACAGCGCGGCCTCGCGCGACCCGGCCCAGCCTCGCAGCAAGGGCGCGGCTTGGCGGGGTCCTGCTCCCTCCGCCCCTTGGCCAGGCGGAGGCCTAGCCACACTGTCCTCCTCCCCCAGTGCCCGCAGCTCCTCCAGCCGCTCCAGCCAGGCCGCAACCCGGTCCAGTCCGCCGCGATAATGCTCAACCGCAGCAGCCAGCCGGGTGCCGCGCAGGAGCGCCAGCTCGGGCCCGGACCACCAGGAGGGGTCGTCTGCGGCGGCGCCCCGACAGCAAAGACGCAGGGCTCGGCCGCGGCTGACACGGCCGTGGCTGTGGCTGTCATCCTATGCGTCTACTAGGCAGCACACCTGCATACTGTGCAGAAAGTGACACTTGCTGATCAACAGATCTTCGTCGAGGTGATGACGACCGGAACCGGTCAACAATCCTCCCCCACTCAGCGTTCGCCCCCCCTCCTGCCCCGCGCCCACCATACTGCTCTGGCAGAAAGGACACATACGGTGCCCACAGCGATGCCGGCCCCCTGCAGCGCTCCAGCAGCAGCAGCAGCACCAGCAGGTTGCGGCCGTCAAGCTCGGGGCCAGCCTCCTCCACCAGGCGGTGGAAAGCGGCGCCGTACTCGGGGTCAGCCAGGGCCAGCCCGCCGTGCAGCAGCAGGGACTGGGGCAGCACAAACACAGACTCTAGAGGGCGGCAGAGGAATAGCAGCGGTACAAAATTGTCTAGAAGAGGGGGCGGCGTTTGAGTGCTCTGCGCATGCTCGTACCAGGCGGCAGCGGAACGCTCTGCCGCGATCGGCCTAGTCACAACCGTGCCCACGTCTCAGATGATCAGCCGTGCACCCACCGCCACTGGCAATGTCGTCGGCGGCCACGAGGCGACGTGGATGGAGGGGGTCGGCCGCCACTTTTGGAAAGCAGCCGCCCTGCAGCGTGGTGTGCAGGAGCGGCAGCAGCATAAGCGGCGTGTCCGGTGCCGGTGGATGTGTGCGGCGGCTCACTGGCGGTGGATGCTCCGCTGCATTTGGAACACAAACCGCGCGTGCTCGTATCACCCTGCCACACCTGTCGGGCGGCCCAGGCTAAAAGATCTTGCATATATTTCAATTGCGCGTCTTTCGGGATCACGATGCGCGATACATGGCGCCACTGGAAGGAAGTAGAAACGTGATGATTTGCAAGAGGATGCCATGCGGACCATGCTGCCTCCGTACCGAGCAACGGGTGACGCCGATGACTAGCTTTTGCACCCGCTCACAGGTCGAGTCGCCTTCACCAGACGGTCCATATGTGTTTGAAAACGATGTAACTCATCAACTGACATAGCTTGAATCCAGTTACACCTGCGCCCTTGGACGATGGGGCCCAAGTCGTCGCACAGCCGCAAGGGCAAGAAGGCCTGGCGGAAAAATATTGATACAACAGATGTGAGAGTTGGGCTTGCAACATGCGAGGCCCGGCCACGCGGCGATCTAGTCGCGGCACCCCTCACCGGCGGCTTTGCTGATGCTGAGCGCAGGTCGAGCACGTCATTGAAGAGACAACCTTGAAGAATGTTCGACCGGCCAAGCCCGAGACGCTTACAGACGACCAGCTTTTCTTTGTCGACACGGTGTGCGCGCTGCGGCTCGAGCCGCCGGCGCTGCGCTGCTAACGCGCTTTTGTGCCTGCGTTCTGGCTGTGTCCGGCCCATGCAGTTTGTGGCAGTGGGCGCTTCGCATGCCTATACCTGCGGCGCGGCAGCGGCCGAGACGGCTCAGAGAAAGGAACGTCATCCGCATGCTGAATCGGCCACGCTGCCCTTTGTTCACCTGCAGACAGCGGACGAGAGCCTGGAGCCCAGGTCCCTGCAGCAGCGCAGGCGCCGGCGTGAGCCCAAGCCGCTCAAGTCGCAGCTCATCATCGACGCCGGGCGCGTGATCAAGCCGGAGGCGCCCAAGCGCAAGCCCGTAGGCGGCATCAAGCCAAAGCCGGGCACCCCTGCAGCGTTGGCTGCGGCTGCACAAGCTGCGGCGGTGGTGGCTGCTAACCGCAGCAAGAAGCAGCAGCGGAGGCGCAAGTCCAAGCCTGGTGAGCACCTTTGCTTCCATGCGGGCTAGTGTGGGCCAGTGCTGGCTGCGCGACAGGCTTCGGCACGCCCGGCACCTTTGGGGAGCCGCTGGTGCGGGGATCCTGTTGCAGCGTTGGCCGTTGAGACATATTGTGACCAGCAGCCGCCGGCTTGCCACAGCTCATGCGTGCATCTTGGCCTTACGACCCTTGCGATTGAAGGGGATGAGGCTGTGGCGGACATCTGGGCGGCCACTGGCAACGCCTCAGCTGCAGAGGAGTGGGCGACGACAGTGTCAGGCACACAGCTGCTGCAGGCCGGCCAGCAGCAACAGGACAAGCCGCAGCTGCCGCGTCTGCGGGGGCGAGCTGCACTGCGGCCGATCCCTGCCGTCGAGGTCGATGCGGCTGGGTGCTCCTTCAATCCGGAGCCTGAGGCGCACCAAGAGGCGCTCGCGGCAGTGGTGGCAGCGGTTGTGAAAAAGGTGGGCGCTGGCTATTCAACGTTGGTGTCACACGGGCTCAGTGCAGGACGGCAGCGGTTTGGAGGGGGGGGCCGCGGTACGTCTGGAGTGGGGCTGTTGAGGTGGGGCTAGGCAGGGGGGGCAGGGCCTCGCTGCGGAGCAGCAAGGCGGTGGCCTTGGTAATCCGAATGAATACACGCGCACGATGGGAGTAGCAACCGATCTGCTCTCCCGCCCCGCCTCCTCAGTGCCCCTCATTGCGCCCACCGTGCCCTGTCACGCTCAAACTCAACACACCCTGGCAAACGTTCCCCCGACACCGCAGGAGATTCGCAAGGAGCTCGCACCTCAGGCGCCACCCCAGCACGCACCAGATGGCTATGTGGCGCCCAAGGACCCTATCCTAGCGCTGCTGGGTGACGGGGTGACGGCGGCTGGCAGCGAGGACGAGGACGAGGAGCAGCAGCAGCAAGGGCTCGAGCAGACCAAGGGCGGCAAGCGGCAGCGCGGCGTTGACGCCGCCGGCGCGGACCCCAACGCGATTGACCTGGACGGCGGTGACGAGGAGGAGGATGGCCAGGCCCAGGGCAGTGAGGCTCAGCAGCGGCAGCAGCAGGAGCAGCAGCAAGGGGTGGCAGGCGGCAGCGAGGATGAGGGTGCGCCACGCGGCGGTCAGACGAAGAAGACGCGTGCCGACCGCAACCGCGAGGCGCGCCGCCGGGCGCAGGAAGCCGAGGCAGCGGCGCGCTCTGCGCTGAAGCGCCAGCGGCGGGAGCTCGACAACGTGGGCAGCCTGCAGGCGCAGCTGCAAGAGGAGGAGGAGGAGCGTGCGGCGCGGCTGCTGCGGCGGCAGACAGTAGCGGCAGAGAAGGCTGCGAGCAGGCCGCCGCGGCTGGGCAAGTTGCGGTACGTGGACGCGCCACCGCCGGTGCTGACGAGCGATGAGGTCACAGGCAGCCTGCGGCAGCTGGCGCCGTACCCCATGGTGGCCGCGGAGCGCTACCGCGCGCTGCAGAAGCGCGGCGTGATTGAGGTGCGGCGGCCGGTGGGCAGCCAGACCAAGGGCAAGAGGGTGGAGTACATGACAGGGGTGCGCACGGAGAAGGCTGCGGAGCGGCAGGCCGAGGTGGACGCGCTCAAGCGCACGCGCGTCAAGGCCGGCCGCAAGGCCAAAGCAGCGGCGGCAAGGGCAGGCAAGGCGGGGCTGGTGGGCAGCGAGCGGCAGGTGCTGGACAGTGAGCTGGGAGCAGCCACTTTGGGTTGGTGATGAGCTAGGGCTAGTGTGTTTTTGTTTTGGAGAAATAAGGAGTCCCTGTTGCTGAAAAAGGTTAATGCAGCTTGCAGATCAAGCGCCCCTGTTGGAGTTGTCCTGGTGTTGTGCTCCTTTCTGGTGAGTCCGAGTCTCTCGTTTCTTCATGTGTCATCTCACGCTCAAACTTTGCTGACAAGAGTGTTGTGCCACTGAATGGTGGGCAGCACTGTATACTGCAGTAATGCCAGCGATGCCAGCAGGGAGGCGGCTTCGCCTTGATCATATCTGGTCGGTTCACAATCTTGGGCTGGCTGCTTTGCAACTGCATGGTCGACTGTGGCCGAGAGTAGACACGGCTCCCTGAATTGTGCTGAGAGAATCAAGTACGCAGGCGCGAGGTCCAAACCGCCACTGCGACGGGCACGCGCGGAATTGGCTCAGCTCTACCTTGGCGCCTGCAGGAAGCTGCAGTAGGGGTGTCGTGCATCTGCCCAGAGCCAACACTCTTATGTCCCCAGACCTCTTGCTCATTGTCATATTCAGTCGCTCACACGCCTCCATGTTCTACATACCGCAGCTGTCACTTGCGCGTGTTTGACCGCCACCCAGCGGTATGCCAAGATCGCAGCTCCGCAGGCTTCAGTCCAAAAGTACGCACTGAACGCCATTCATAACTAATGGCTTCGCAGCACAAGGAGTTCTGCGCGTATCCCTACAGTGCGGATGCGCCGTACCCCAGGGTTTCCACTGACTGGTTTGTTTACCTGTCGTATCGTTTACCTCAGATCATCTGAAGGCAACACAACATTAGCAGTGGGGGTGTCAGTGGGGTGAAGGCCCTTGGCTGGCGCGCCATATCGCAAATATAGACGCAGGTGAGCAGTGCTTTGAAGCACCCAGCCTGAGCCCATGAGCCAGCTCAAGCTTTGCCTGTGCGGAGCACTCTGCTTGCTTGGCTTGCCAAGATGGGTTGCTCACCAAGGCTCCTTTTCAAGCTGAATTTCACCTTGATTCTTCAAAACCTAGGAACCCGGTGACGCAGCACCCTCGCGAGGGCGGCAGCAAGTCCCCCGCCCAGTTGCCGTGTAGGCGGTCTGTGGTGGTGGAGACTCACGACGAGACAGCAGAGGCACTGCTGCAGGGCCGCAGCAAGTGGCGGCGCACGGTGAGTTGCATGGCTTTGCGGCTTGTGTAAATGTGTGACACCGTGCGTGCTAGCGGCGTGGCCCAGGTTCCCACACACGACAGGGAATGCTGGCCGCTATTCTCTATTACACTTACGAAGGCGGGTGTGGACATTGACCCATGCGCGTCTGTGCAGCCGGGGGGTGGGCGCGGAGCCTTCTTCACGCCTGGCACCTACCCTTGGGTCTGCGTGTGACTCCTTTGCCCTGGGCACCATCCTGGATGATCTGGCCCTCAGCCGCCAGGTTGACAGCAATCATGACAACGCAGCCCACTGGCGGCGGGGCCCAGCCTGGGGGGAGATGCCAGCCGATCTGGCGGCCGTGGTGGATGCGCTGTGCTACGCCGATCCTCCCAGCACACTAGCATCGCCGCGGTCCTGCTGATGCCATTTCCATGCGAACCCTGCTGCAGCTGCAACCAACGGCAGCAGCAATGGCATTGAGGCCCCAGCTCCTGTCGTTCACAGCCTCGCGCCTAGGGGTTGTATTGTTAATCGCTACACCCCTTTGCAATGGCAGTACACAGTGATGGGTTGGTCAAGGCGCGTGCATTACTTAGCCGCCAATTGCAGCTGTTGGCTGGTAGTGTTGCATGGAAGCAAGCCATGGCACCAGCAAAGGGCTCAAAGCCTGTTGATGCAGACCTGCACATCAGGCTGAGATGAGACTGGGCTTTGAAGGTCAGTCGTGGCGGAGGCATCACTAAACCAGTTGCGCACAAGCCCAAGGTGTATACTGGTGCGTGCCAGTGTGGATGTGCATGGCGTGACCACAACTGCACAAGCTTGGTGAAGCGTGATGGCCTGGCTACGAAGGAAGCACTTGCTGCAACAAACTTTCACTTCCTACGCACTTGATGGGTGCGGCCACACCGCACTAGGTATGCTATACCGTGTCAGAGCACACAAGCCCACGGCTCCAGCCCCTATACCACACCAAACGACATCACGCACACCACACGTCCCGCACATACGCGCCGCTGGCTGCCATGGTTTTGAGCTGCGCCTCCGCCTCCGCCTCCCCCAGGCCCCCGTAGTCCCGCAGCGCCCCAGCCAGCGCCGCGTGCACGTCCTTGGCCATGGCCGCGCCATCGCCGCACACGAACACGTGGGCGCCGTCCTGCAGCACCAGCTTGGCCAGTGCCGCGCCGTCCCGTGCCATGAGGTGCTGGACGTACTCCTTGGCTGCGCCCTCACGGCTGAACGCCACCCGCAGCCGCGCGAGGTCCCCGCTGGCCTCAAACGCCTCCAGCTCAGCACCATAGAGGTAGTCCTCGTCGCGACGGCGGCAGCCAAAGTACAGCCACGCCTCACCCAGCGCCACAGCCGGGTCACCGCCCGCCGCGGCTGTGGCTGCGGCTCGCC